GAAGCCTGGGGTGGGGGACAGAGAGGTGCTTTGTATATTCGCTATTAAGGAAGGGCGGCTGCCAGTGTGAAGGGGTAAAGGTCAGGGAATATGGAGTGGAGACCTCCCGCACCCCAAAAACCCAACCAGCACGGCGCTGTGAGGAGTTTTTGGATGAAACCACCAGGTTTTACAAAACGCCTGCTCAGCTGGGCCTAGTGAGGCTGCCAGGGCCGCTTCTGCCGGACAGGGGCCCAGGGACACTCCACGTCCAGGCGCTGCAGGGCCCCCCAAGCGCCCCAGCCGCGCGCCAGCGAGCCACTGGACGCCGGGAGAGGGTGGTGGGAGAGGGTGGCGAGGCCATGCCCCCCCGTAGCGTCCAGGGGACCACAGTGACCTCGCCCCCCACCCCCCAGTTGGCCTGTGGGCGGACTCGCCCCGCGGCCCAGCCTCACCCGCTCGCGCTCCTTGGCGTTGGCGGCGCGCCGTCGCTCCAGCACCAACTGCAGGCCGTCGGTGGTCGAGTAGCCGCCCGAGGGCAGCCGCTTGAGGCGACAGATGGCCGCCAGCTGGTGCAGCGGCCCGAACTGCTCCCGCAGAATGTCCTCCAGCACCTCGGGCTGCGGGACGCACAGCAGCGAGGGCAGCGCGGGGCCCGGGGGCGCAGGAGCGGGCTCAGGCTCGGCGTCCATGGCGCGGGCGCAAGGGCGGCGCAGGGGCGAGCACGCGGCGGCCGCCCGGGCCCTTTAAGGAGCAGCCCCTCGGCGCGGGCCGAGCATCACCCACACACCTGGGCCTCCGCACCTGAGTGCTCACCTCTCCAGACACCTGGGCGGCTTTCCGCTCCTCCTGCCCGGATACCGGGCCCCCTTCCGCTGAAGGCCGCCGCCAGGGCTCTCTGAATACATTTATCATTCGCTCAATACCATCAAGTCTGAACTGACGCATAACCCACCCTCCAGGGTTTTCAGAGGCTGCTAATCACCGGAGGAGCACCTACCTGGTGGATTCGAACCTGCTGGATTCGAACCTGCTGGATTTTAGGTTGGCAAAACACTCCCTTACTAGGCCACCAGAGCTCTCTACTGTGTACAAGTGTGTGGAAATATATGCACCAGTATGGACACATGAAAATGCAATTGTTTCAGATGCAATCTTTTAAATGCATTTCTGAAACAAAAATTGCAGTAGCAAAGCGTTCCTGAACAAGATCCTCACTTGTTTACATTTGGTCAAATTTGTCCCACCACGCCTTGCTATGACTACTCTCTCATCTTCTTTGTTCTTTTTTGTGCTGGTTGAGCTGCTATGTTTCAGAATGGTTTCAGTTGTACATATGAATATCCTGTCACCCACTAAATACTCCTTTGTGTCTTCTCCTCTCACCCAGGCCACATCTCTGCAGAACCACAGCTGTTGTTACTGGAATCAAAGACCACTCAGAGTGACCCTCTGAAAAACAGAACAAACAAATCTGTCTTGGAGGAAGTGCAATCAGTGAGAGGTAAGGTGGACGAAACTTCCTCTCACATACTTTGGGCTTGTTACCAGGAAACGCCAGTCCTTGGAAAAGGGCATGCTGGAAAGGTGAAGGGTCAGAGACAGAGGGAAAGACCCTCAGCACAGTAGATTGACACGTGACTACAGTAACAACCTATCAGAGTGTATCAGAGACGGTAAGGATGGTGCAAGATAACTCAAGGTTCTGATCTGCTGTTTCTAGGATTTTTGGTCCTAAAGGAGCATAAGTCCTAAGATCTGATACCACGTGGATGAGTCTTTAAAACATCATGCTAAGTGGAAAAATTGGATGTCAAATCCCTACCCTTTATAAAAGCACAAATATTATGTGACCCCACACAGCAAAAATAGCTACAACAGACAAAATAGAAATAGAAAGTAGATTAGAGGTTACCAGAGGCTGGGCTAGGGGTGAGGACAAGGAACTTAATGGGACAGAGTAGTCTCTATTCAGGGTGATGAAAAAGTCCAAGAAATAAGCACTGATAATGGTTGCACAACATTGTCAATACAATTAATGCCACAAACAACTGTACTCTTGAGAGTGTTTTAAATGGCAAATGATATATCTATTTTACCACAATAAATGTTTTTAGAATACCTGTAAAATCCTTCTAGTAAGAGAAGGGGGAGGGAAATAGATAAATTTACACAGAGAAAAGGAACTAATAATTACAGAGACGAGTCTACCTACACTGCCCCAAATTCCAATCCAAATCCCTTGGGTAATTTCATTTTTATTATTACATGTTACCTTTCTATAAGGACAAAACCAAACTCGTGGCCATCAATTCTCTTCCTATTCCCTGTGACCCTCCACCAGGTTCCCGAAATTGTCAATAGATGATTGCCTCCTTTTTCCTCAGAACCAATGGTGGATTCAAACTGTCAACCTTTTGGCTAGCAGCCCAACACTTGGTCTGCTCTGACATTTTACATATTATATATGATTTCATTTTCCCTGGTCTGCATTCTGTGGACTCTATTTCCATTGCAGGGATGTGGAAATGGATGCCAGAGAAGTGAGTGTCTGGCCAGGGTCTCACTGCTGGTCAGCAGTACAATCAAAGGTTAGCACTCAGGCTAGTGGCCTCCCCTACAGCTCAGTGCCCACGAGGTCTGCAGCTTGTATTCCTAGATCCCCTGATCGAGCACAAGATCTCACCAGATACACAGATCCTGTGGACCACACTCCACATCTCACTTCTCCACCTCCACCAGGCATGCTCTGAGCTTGATGGCTGGGTCATACCACCAGCAGAGTTCACAGTGGGTCAGAAGTACCCTTCACCAAGAACAGGGAAGACAAAGAGATCTAGAGGCATGCCCTGGGTCTCCGCCCCAGGAGACCACAAAGGCCTTTTCTCTCTAGAGACCTTCCCAGAGGGTCTTCACAGAAGGCTGTCTTAGTGCAATGGTTTACAACAGCAGTGAAAATTTATGAGCCAGCCACAAAGGACAGAAACCTATACAGATAAATTCCCAAACCTATTCATAGTACAGACAAATCCCAAAAGACACAAGCAGAGGGCCAGGATTGCCTGGCAACGTGGAGGAAGCTGGGATTAGAAATGGTCCAGGAGAATTGGTTTCTGTGGCTCAGCTCCCATGACCTTCATAGAAGAAATGTGAAGGAAGACTACTTGGGGCCGCCTTGAAGGGAGCCTGGAATCACAGCCCCGGATCTTATACAAGTGCAATGGAAACTGCTTGCCAAGAAGGGCAAGAATTTAAAAACAGACAGCCCAGGCCTTTGAGGGAGACTTAAGAGGCCATAGGGTACAGGCTGCTCTGTTGAAAGCAGAAACAGGCAAGAGACTGAATGGTGCTATAGATGCTCTGTTGACTGGGTGTCCTTGTTCTGCAGGAGGAAGATGGAGTAGCCTTCCATGTGCCAGATTCCTTGTCTGTACTAAAGCACATGGACCCCCCCCTATACCAAGAGCATCCCAGACCACCTCACTGGAACCAGGGCTTCCCTGGGGCAGGAGATCCTTCCAGCAGACTGGCTTTGAGCGGAAGCAGAAATTGCTGACTGCAGAGATACAGGTCCTGGCTGTTAGGAAAGCGATGTAGAACGTCCTTCTAGAAGCTGTAATTAGACAAACAGACGGACATGCTGGTTTGCTCAGCTGCTTGCAACTTGCCAGGCACAAATGTGAGTCTGTGGGTCCCAGAGTGGAAGAATTCTAGAGGCCTGAGGATGAGACTGTGGCCGATACTTAAAGGTGCTGACTAGAAACACACGCATTACCCTCTAAACTAGTGACTTCTCTTCAGAATGCTGTTACATCTTCCTCCTAAGTGTTACATAATTCCTTCAGAAAGTGAAGTTAAGTAAATACCTTTTACTCTCTTCATTTAGAAGCAACTCCTTCCCCCAGGACACCAAGCCTGGGAAACCATTCCAAGTCAATCAAGACGCCTCCTCCTCCCTACGTTGGAGGCAGGCTCTGCCCTGCATCACCAGGTGCTTCTGTCAGGCTGGGTCCTCACACCAAGAAAGACTGACAGCCGAAGATGTAAGCACCAGGGTTTCATCAGCACACCTCTGTGCGAGGTGGCAGTTTCTGTCACAGGGGTGCTATGACCTCTCACCTCCCAAAGCAATCCAAGGTCACAGAGATAGCAGTCCTTCCCACAGAAGAGGCAGGACAGGGCATGTGCCTTGGATGATGGGCTGACCACTTCCCACCAGGTCAACTGAGGGCTTCTCTGCTTCCCCTCTTGGCTCCAGTCAGTCTAAAGAGAACTTAATTCCTCGACCTCGCTGACTTTCTTTGGGGAAGTTTCGATGTTCGGATCTCCTCTGAGGGTTGGCCTTGGGATATCACCAGGGGGGAGTCTTTCCTGTTGACCTGCCACTGTTCCACCAAAGCAATCACCAGTGAGTCCATCCTAACTCGAGGACAGAGGACAACTGCCCTATAGCTCCAAGGCTATATTTTTTTTCCAAATAAAATTTTTATGTTTCATACTAGTTTACTTACAAAGTTCATACATACTGTTTTTCACACTAGATCATGACCTTTACCCTCCCCTTCTTTACTCTTTTTAAAAATTTTTCAATGGTGATTTTAATAAATATTTACAAAGCAAATCGGCTTTCCATTCAATCATTCACACACCTTTTCTTTTTTATTTTACTCTGATTTAAAGTTTGAATAAAATGGGAAGGATCTTTTGTGAAACACATTTTATTTTATGACATAAGTACCCACATTATAACCACATTTCTCCTGCTCCCTCACTACGCTTCTTGTTCCCATTAATCCTTCTCTTCTATCCCTTCCTGCCTTCCAAGCTGTATCCCTGGGCATATTTGCCCTTTGGATCTTACGTGACTGATTGTTGTAGGAAGTAAGTGCCTCCTTCGTGTTATCATTCACCTTGTAGAAAATCTCTATTTACAATCTTAGACAACTAATAAAAGGGCGGCCAGGAATCAAACCAACTTGACAACAGTGAGTTTTGATTTTTGTTTTCATTTGGACCATCTATTGTTTGACAGGAAGTTGAGCCACAGGCTAAATTTTGGTCCATGTTTGAAAAGTAACTAAGGACTCCAAAGGAGGAAGACAGACAGTCTCCTCTGCAATTGAACCACCTCAGAAACCCAATGGCGGGTCAACCTCGAGTCGACTCCAACTCCATGCCAATGACAAGACTTCGTAAATGACTGGCTTCATAAATGCTGGACGTTTCGTCTGCATGGTTCACTATTGAACGCCTGAGACCTAGAGGACCGATGGGTACATACAACGGCAAGGGCTTCAGTCTTGGGAGTTCCACTACTGGACCAGTAAACCTGGCCATGTTCGTGGGGTTTGAGTTTGTTCCACACTTTTTTTGCCCTCTCTGTCCAGAGCCTTCTTCTGCGATCCATCTAAGAGTGGTCATCCGCGTTTAGAGGGGTCAGCAGTGACAGGTGGGCATCGTCTAGTTCTTCTGACCTCAGGGTGGTAGGTTGAGGCTCACATCATCCCTTCGTCCCCAAGCTCTCATCTGTATGGAAACAGACGGTCACATCTCCGCCCACAGAGAGGCTGGTGAGTTCGAACCACCAACCTTTTGATTACCAGGCAGCTGCCTAACCGCTATGCAGCCAGAGGCCTTCCTGTTGCAGCACTTCTCCCTCATCGCCAGGCCATGGGCTGTGTTTGCCGGGATGACGATAAACAGCAGCCAGTTGTTTCAGAATATTGCTGCCCGAGGCTACGTCCAACGGCTTTGTGAAAGGAGTGCTATTGTTGTTGTTGTCGTGTGCCATCGAGTCAGAACTAACTCACAGTTGACCCTCTAGCTGGTTTCCAGAGGCTGTAAATGGCACGGGAGGAGATTGCCCAGTTTTCTCCCTCGGAGCAGCTGGTGAGTTCAAGCTACCTGCCTTTGGG